GCCCATGCATCCATCCATTCATCTGTCCATCTGTCTGTCTGTCCATCAGTTACTGAGTGACCATATGAGCCATACCCTGGGTACCGCACTGAGAATTAAGCAGAAAACAAGACAGTCCCTGCCCGTGAAGAGACTGCTGTATACTGGAGCAGGGAGGAGCCAGGATCTGGGGGATAATCCTGCTGCGACAGTTTCTGGAACTCAGAGACTCTTTCTCACTGGTCTCTAGTTTGCCGGGGATGAGACAGAGAACAGGAAGGCACTGGGCAGCTGAAGCACTCCAGGGGGAGGGGAGCACGCCCATCCTCTATCCTAGTCCCTTCAGGGCTGACCCTGGCAGGTTTCGAGGTGCGCCTTCCCCACTCACTCCCAGACAGAAGTGCTTAGCACACCAGAGGTGGTCAGGGCAGTTCCTTGGCCCCTATGCTGGGTGGGGCCTCATTTCCGGCCCCGACTCCCACATTTCTGCTTCTCAATGCAGAGGCATCTCTTCGTCTCCCTGTCCTGAGTTCCTAGGGCCTGGAATGCAGCCTTCTCTGCTGGTGACAATGTGACAACTGCCATTGACTGGAGGCAGCAGCTGGTCCCTTCTCAGACGCCTGTGTTTCAACGGGGGCTCTGCCTCACCTCCCGCCCACCGACCTCCCTGAGCAAACTGCTAACTGTCTGTGCCTCGGACTTCTCGGCTGTGAAGTGGGAATAAAACAGAGCCCGTCCTGCCTACAGTACGTGTCCTTGGGGACTGATATTTTGGCTCCTCCTGCTTCTCCCAACCCGGGAGTCCTCATCCATGGTGTGGACTTCCCACTAAGGAAGGCGGCTTGGGAGCCATACTGCTTCCAGAAACTCAGAAAGCAGCTTGGAAAGCCTGTGGGGACCTGCTTGCAACTCCTCTCTCTGCCTCCTTAACTGCACCAGACTTGCTGGCACGCTGACTGCATCTCTCTCTCTTCAGGTGTCACCCGCCGCAGACCACCTGCTCCCGGCTGGAGTGAGGTCTCTTTCCTTTAACTCTGCGCTGGGCCAACATCGAGGCCCCAGAGCCCACTTATAGGGAGTTTCTACTTCTGCTCACTTCGAATTCACATTTCTGGTTCTTTTCATCTTATTTTTTAAATATTTTTTTATTGATTTCAGAGAGGCAGGGAGAGGGAGAAAGACAGAAACATCAATGATGAGAGAGAATCATTGATTGCTGCCTCCTGCATGCCCCACACCAGGAAAGGAGCCCACAGCCCAGGCATATGCCCTGGCGGGGAATCAAACCGTGACCTCCTGGTTCAGAGGTTGATGCTCAACCACTGAGCCAGGCCGTTGGGCTTTTCCGACGTTTTCTTTTTTCCTTTGGGGGAGTCTGAGCGCATCCTTCCTCTGTCTCAGCTCCTTTCACAGGCGCCTCCTGGGTCCCACCTTCCCTTTCTAGCTGCTCCCATACGATGATCCAGGAAGGGCGGCAGAGGAGAGCAGAGAGGGCGGCATCCCGGCCTAGTCGGGTCTGACTGGGTGCAAGGCTCTTTTTTAAGAAGAAACCTCCGCTGTGAGCCTCATGAAAAACTCTGCTTGGATGGACACCCCTCAAAACAGGGGCGATAATCTGGGTGACTAGACATGCAATGCATTTACACGAGTTTTATGAAATCCAATAGTGTGCCAAGATCAAGATGGCAGGAAAAAAAAAAGTTGGGAATATAGAGATTGCCCGCTTCACTCATTCCTGGGAAAAGTAGGTCCTTCTCAAAGGAAAGAAATGGTGTGGAAAACAGATGTGCAAATATGCCCACTCGAAATTTAAGATTTAAAAAGAAATTATAAGGAGAGGGCATGAAAATTTAATTTAATGTTCACCTTAGGTAATTCTGTGTCTTATTGTTCATAGCAATTACCATAAATCTGCATATCAATAAGCGAGAACAGATGTCAGTTGTTACAAGTGCTTGCCAATCAGGTCTGTTAGAAAGTGACAGATGGGTGGTTATAAAAGGTTCTCATAAGGCCCATTAGCACATTCGCAGGAAGTGTGTGTGGTGGAGGGTGGGAGACGGGCCTTGGGAAGAGCGCGAATCCTTGTGGGTTGGGAATGGGGCTGCACACCTCACACCTGGGCAGGGTCTCTAATGTCAGGTTCCCAGCCTCCAGTACAGTTTTTAAAATACCTTCCCTCTTTCCACTCATCACAGATATTCTAAGACAGTCTTCTCTGGGGATGGACCTCAAATTGATGGAAAGCATCGTCTTGTTGTTGTTCGAAGCAAATACTTGCACTCTATAATTTTACTGTTACTTTTAAAACGTAGACTAGATATTCTGAAACGGAGTAACTAGCAGCTTTACTGAATGTCAGAAGTAAAGTGAAAGTTTTCTCGTTTATCAAAAGATACTCTTCTTTGCCCTGGCCAGTGTGACTCCGTTGGTTGGGCATGGTCCAGTGTGCCAAGAGGTCAACAGTTCAATTCCCGGTCAGGACACATGCCCGGGTTGTAGGCTGGATCCCCAGTAGAAGGCATGCAGGAGGCTGCTGATGAATGTTTCTCTTCTCCCTCTCCCTTCCTCTCTCTCTCTCAAATCAATAAAAACAACAACAAAAAAAGATACTCTTCAGCCACTGATGGCTTCAGAATCTCTATAGTTTCCTGGTAACAACTCCTCACCCTAGAAAACAAATTCCCTTGACAAAAGCAAACCACACTTACACACTTGAAACGTGGTTCAGAATGGAGGGAGGCACTTTTCCTGTCTCTGAATTGCCTTTTTTTTTTTTTTTTTTTTGGGCAGATTTGTGGCCCTCGCTGTATTATTTATCTACAGCTTGCCCCTGAGTGTTACTTGGCCTGCTAAACCCTTGGTGTAGGTGAGTCACAGCAGCTGTACCTGAGCAAGCACACCTGCATTTGCTGAGACCCTGAGCGCTGCTTCCCAAGCTGGGGGCAACGGAGAGCTCAGGTTTCAGGATCAGGCTGCAATGGATGTCAAATGTGGATCAGCCACTTACTTGCTCAGTAACTCTGGGCAAGTTTCTTCATTCATCTCTCTAAGCCTCAGCTGCCCCACCTGTAAAATGGGATACTAACAGTCCCTACCTCATAAAGCTGTTCAATACTTGGAGATTCTGTATCCTCGTCCGTATTATGCCCCTTACTGGTGCTGTGGGCTCACATAACTTATTTAACCTCTTCCTGCTTCAGTTTTCCCAACTGCAATGTAGTAACAAAGGGGTGATTTTGTTCTGGGCATGCTGTGAGGATAAATGGCATGGTTATTTCAAGGAGCTCTGTTAAAAACAAAATTGTAAAATACGACTCTTGTTTTTCTAACAATCCTCTTTTGTTAAAAGGAATTAATGACCTTAAGCCACTTTTCCCTTGTTCCTTCTTCTTCAGGAAAAATCCAGACTCTGAGCCCAAACTCAGACCCAAGTTTCTGAGATTTCAGAAATTCATGCAACAAATAACTGAGTGGGAAAATGGATAAGTTTTTTACTAGGAGTTTTAAGAGGGAAAATCAACTTCAAAGATGCACAAAAAGTACCATAAAAGCATTCAGTTTATTAAGATTTCGTCCCAATCTCCTCTCTGCTTTAAAAATCCATATTTAATAAAGATACCCTTTAATAAAATCATGGAACACGTTTAGAGTTACTTTTAGTTTGATAAAAAAGTATAGCTGATGTCTCACTCACTTTTAATGATGCAACTATTAGTAACTTCTCATCTAAAATAACTTTTTCTGCTTCTTGTTTTTGAAAAATTTACTTCATTTTTCTCCTCCAACAGTGAGTGTTTCACTCACTCAAACGAGACATTCAGACTGTGATAAACCTGAGTCTCCTGAAGGGCAGACCGTGGGCCATGCCTGAGAGTGGTTCACAGCCACGTGCGACTGGTTTCCGCGGTGATATTTCACGCTCTTTGGTGAGTGTTCCATGCAGGAGTGATTGAACTTTACATGTGGAGTTCACGTGCGGCACTGAAGACACACAGACGGCATCCGGACTGTGTAGATGCCCCTCGCACTATGCCACAACCTCAACCGCTCCAGGAGCATTTTAACCTCAGGGGGGGTCTGGGACCCATGACCTCCGGGTGCCTTCATATCCCTCCTCCCATGTGTGTTGCAGAGCATCTGCACCATAACATGCGTGATGTTGTACAAGCTCTCTAATTTAATTTACCCGTGAACATACTGTTCTTAGTTTATATAATGTGTTTTTTTTTGGGGGGGGGGGGAGGGGTGGGGGGGGGTCTTAGATGTAAGGCTAAGACCAAATTTCTTAATTAAGAAAGCAGGCATTTAACTTTAGCGCCGTTGGGAATGTATCCAAAACATAAATTTGAGTTGTTGGTTTATAAATTTATTCACTCAAAAATGGTTGCGAGCACCTCTTGGAGGAGTGAGGGCTGAGTCCATCAGCCCAGGCCACGGCCTCGCGGAGCACTGATGATTCCGGCGTGTCAGAGAGGTGAGGGAGGACGGGGAGGCAGTCAGGGGTCAGGGGCACAAGAGAGAGGGGCACCCCTCCCACATCTGGTGAGTTGGGGAGGCTTTCTCTAGCAAGTGGCCTCTATCACAGGTCACTTTTTAATACTGGGTGAGATGACTGGCAAGGACAAAAAAGCAAGCCCTATTTCTGGGAGAAGACGAAAGAGCAGCAGGCCATTGAACTTCACCTTACTGAAAAAAACCATATCCCAAACCACAATGCTTCAAACAATGAGGACCATGACACAATTATGCTTACGAATAAAGGGCACCCTTTATAGAAAACAGGCCCAGCAGACCGCCTGGACATCTACATCCTTAACACTCTAAATATTCAAGGCAGTGGTCCCCATGGACTGTCAGCATTTGATTTTCTGACCTGTGCAGACACAGGGTGCTGAACTTCACATAGTGAAGGTTCAAGAACGGGGCATCTGGGGAAGCCCAGTGCATTTACAGAGGCCTCACATTAGCCATCCGATCCATGCACCCTCTAAGGTGACTCCCAGATGCCTGTGTGTAAATGAGCACGCTAAGCACGTGAACGCCATCCTGACCTGTGGCTGGCGAGGCAGAAAAGCACACAGCTAACCAGTGAGGGTGCTCTGTCCGCCCGGGAAGTGCGCTTGGCAGCAGCCAGAGCATAATTCAGCGGTGGGAGACGAGAGTCCCAGGCTTCCTCGAAGCGAGGACCCTAACTTTGGGTCTAGGTGCAGCCATTCTTTCTATTAGAAGAAAAACAAATCTAGCCTCCATGGAAAATGGGACAAACCTTCGCATTTATTTTAGCGCTTGCAATCTGGAGGTTTTCTCTTTTTAAAACATAGAAAACTTCCTGAATATTTTACTTATGTCACTCCAATTCCCTTCACAGAACTAAAAATAAATGAACCGTTCAATATGATTCTTAGCTCCAAGGCCAGCTTCCCAAACTGTATTCATGAAGATACCGATGAATGATTTAACTACTTATCATTTGAACATACATTTCCCCCCAATAATCCAAAAGCTGTAATTACAACAGAAGAAGCTGGCAGTGCCAGTAGATTTAGAGCCCAGCCACTAATTCTGCATTATGTTTACCGTGGGCCGATCTGTCCCGTCAGACAAGCTACCATGAGCCTGTGAAGCCACAATGAAAGGCTGGGCTGAGGATCACAGCACACAGGAGGGGAAACCGGTGTACATTCATGGAGAGTGTTTCCAGATCCATTCAAAGTGAAACAAGAAAAAAAAACGACCAAGGGTTTGTATTTGGAAAGAAAAAAAAAAGAAAGGAAAAAAAGGAGTTTTCATCATGGCTTTTATTCTGCACATTGAGTCAGCGTGTCCTTGATTAAAACAAACTGCCTGATTTTCACGGGGCAAAAACCTGGGCTTCTCCTTGCCCTGGCTCCCCACCTCTCTGGAAAGAAACGAGGAAAAAGCGCTCTGGCTGTTCCTCGCGGCAGGTGAATGGCACCTGTGTTCAGATTTCTTGCACAAGCGGCCTGCCCCGCCCTGTGGAAAGTTAGGGGACCAGCCTGAAGGTGACACAGCAGGAGTGACCTGTCACTAGTCACTGCACCTCCTCACCGCTGACACAGCTCATTAGAAGAAGCAACCCTTTGCGCGCTGCCTTTCAAATCCAGCCACACTTTGATTTCTCTCAAGAACAAAGATTATGCTTTCACATAAAGGCGTCTGATGCCCAATTCTGTCAACTGGGGGGACTACAGTGGAAAAGGCACCCTGTTCATTGTCTGTGGACGTCAGGGGATAGCAGACCATTACAGAGACAGGCCTGCAGTCCAGGCTTTCATTATGGAGGTCAGACTGCTGTTTTATTGAGCGCCTATTATTAAGATTTTAGAAGGATGTTAATCATTTTGGCTGCCCTGGATACAAGAATCTTGCTGGAAATTCCCCAGTAACCAATCCCAATTTTAAAAATAAGACAACGGGTGTACTATGCAGGAACGCGCTGTGCCCCCATGTTACTACTGCTGGAAATGCCTGAGGCAGGAGGGCAACTTTCCCACAGCTAGTCTAATTTTAACACCCCAACCAGAGAGCAAAGAGGGCTGCTAATTGCTTTTGTTCTTCTTTGTCCCCGCTGCTTTCCTTTGCCCTCTGACCCCCCTGGATTCAGACAACAGCGCAGTCAGAGGAAAGGCGTGGTTCACCACTCACCCGCCATCTGCTGAATGCCGCTGAAGGCGCCCAGGTTGCTGGAGGAGGTGGCCTGCTGCAGGAGCTGTGAACAGAGGGAGACACAACCGTTAACAAGCCTCGAGGTGAGGGCCAAGTGGTTCCCAAACAACACTAACACATCCCACTTCTGTTACGTTTGTACAGCTGGCTGCTGCTGTCTCTTAATGGACTGAAGGTTCCCAGAGTTGGGGCTGTAAATCCATAGCACTGTCTGATCTCTATTAAGAGACACAGACACTGGGGAAACTCAATAACACTGCTGCCTTAAAACAATTAATCAATTCAGTCTTTTTAACAACCAGGTGTGCAATCTATTGAAACCAACGTGGCGTGACTAATGCGATCTCTCGGCAGCCTCCTCGTTACTGTAAGTCCCGTCAATCAGGGTCCCTGCCTCGGTCCCTTCCACGTCCCTTCACAGCTCTGTTCCCTTCATCCTTTATTAGATGCTCACGGAGCCACTTATTCTTGGACCAACAGAGAAATCATCATGATAACTGCAGACATGACGTCTCTCTTCACAGCCACGGCTACATGGCCATGACGATCCCTTTTAACAGGGTTTTCACTGCAGCGAGAAACCTGCCGCTTGTCAGCACTTGGAAGCTGGTGAGGCTGCACTTTGCATCACAAACATGTCAGCATCACCTTTTCCCCACGTGGACTCAGTGGCTGCCACAAGGCACAGGCGTGTGGCTAATGCCCTAAAATGCTCTTTCACTGGCCCAATTGACTTGAATTATAGGCTAACACTCAGGTGCTATCCTAAGTATTTGACTAAATGTATTGATATTCTCTTTCTGTTAAGGTTGATCAATAGAGACATAGTTTGTATACATATAGTTGCCTCCACTACTCAGATTTACATGAATACCAAAAAGCATAGATTCACACCAAATTTATTATTGAAAAGTTGTTATGTGCTTTGGAGGAGGAGAAGGATTCACTACCTAAAAGAGAACTTTCAGAGTTTACTTGGAGCTCTGCGAAACAAAACGTAGAAGACCATCATTCCCTCGGTTCAATAAGAACACAACTCTGATAAATATGACTCAAAAGTAGGCAATGATCAGTTCACTTGAAAGCACCAAGCAGAGTGGAGTATCAGTGACTAATTAAACCAAAGATTTAGTGACAATGGTATCACAGGGATTAACTTTAACCTTTACCAGAAATATGTCTCTCACGCTCTCTCATCCTTCTCTACTTGCTGAATACATACGGGGTGGGCAAAAGTAGGTTTACAGTGGTGAGTACACGAAACAGTTTATTCTTGTATTATCATTACTTTGTCAATTATTGTATTTATTTGTCTTATTATTATTTCTTATCTTAGTTATGATTTATCTTTTAGGCAATGATGGCTGGTAATCTAGCCTACTTTTGCTCACCCCTGTATATTACCTAGGTATCACAGAAAGAAAGAGAAACGGACACACACAAAGAGAGGGAGGAAGAGGGAGAAGGCAAGGATCATCCATTTTAATAGATAAGTCCCTTACTTTGGTTTGATTACTTGGGTTTTTCATTCTCTTGTGATTGCAACCCCTTACTCCTCCTATTAGGTTTTTTTAAAAAATTAAAGTTAAGTAAAATTAAATACACTTTGAAGATATTTTGAGGAATTAATAGAGCCTACTGAGGTAAGCAGGCTCAGGCTGGACTGCCATGAAACTACTACTGAGGGCTCTTCCCACGAAAACCATTCTCTGGTGAGTCGGGCTCAGAATCCGCCCCTCAACACAGGCAGGGAACGCCTCAAAGGCCATGGGCCCTTGCAGAGATGGACTTCCGATTCCGAGTAGGAGAAAGCATGGTAAGGCATGCACAGAAACGTGTGTTAGACATGAGAATGAGGCTAATTCTCTTCCAGGGTACAGAAACCACTGCATTTGTGACCAAAGAAACAGCCAGAGACTTCTGTTACGCCGTGGGGCATGGAGCTGTGCTGGGGACCAGGGACCGGCACATGTGCCTTGGTTTTTGGAAACGGTGGAGTGGGAAGCTGGATGCTTAGAAACCATGAAAAGGGGAGCTTGACTTCAATCTCTGATAAAAATTCTTGTATACACCACTGAACAGATGGTCTGTGAACATCTGAAAAGCACAAGTTTGTGAAAAACAAGTTATTAAGTCAGACTCATTTCTTTTTTCGTAACATTTCTACACTGATAGGACCAGAAGAAGACATGGCAGATCCTGTATAGGTTTTAGCAGGACACCTGGCTAAACCTCCCATGGTGCCTTCGTGGAGGAATGGCCTGAAAATGACAGCAAATTCGGTCAGTGGCTTTCGTAAGGACTCAGATGGAGACCGGAGAAGCTGGCTCCTCATTTATTAACCAAACACGCACCGAGAAGCTATTATATGCAGGACCCAGTGGGCACTGGGCAGGGGTTGGGGAATAAAGGAACAGGAGCCATGTCTGTTCTCTGAGAAGCAATGTGGCAAACGGAGAGAATATACAGAGAGAACACACAAAGGGGACACACGGAGAGGACACACAGAGGGAACACACGGAGGGGACACATGGAGGGGGCACACAGAGGGGACACATGGAGGGGGCACACAGAGGGGACACACGGAGAGAACACACAGAGGGGACACACAGAGGGGACACACGGAGAGGACACATGGAGGGGACACATGGAGAGAACACACGGAGGGGACACACGGAGGGGACCCACGGAGAGAACACACGGAGGGAACACACGGAGAGGACACACGGAGAGAACACATGGAGGGGGCACCTGGAGAGAACACACAGAGGGGACACACGGAGAGGACACACGGAGGGGACACACGAAGGGGACACCCGGAGAGAACACACGGAGGGAACACACGAAGGGGGCACCCGGAGAGAACACACGAAGGGGGCACCCGGAGGGGACACACGGAGGGGGCACCGGGAGGGGGCACCCAGAGGGGACACACGGAGGGGACACCTGGAGGGGACACACGGAGGGGACACACGGCCGGGTGCACCCGTGGGGCCAGCAGCAGCACATTCCTGGGGCAAGTGATGTCACCGTTTGAGTCTCTCTTTTCTCTCCTCTACAGACAGTGGTCTGACCTGCCAGGGCCCAGGGAGGACTGTCTGGCAGAACAGCACAGGTTCTGCGACCAAGTCAGTCTACTGGATGATACAATCCTGAGAGGGACAGTTAGGTCCAGTGACAGAGTTAGGGCAAAGACGAACACACACACACACATACTGACAGAGGCTGAGAAAAAGGCCCAATCTCACAACATGAAATTCTATTAATAAATGAGGAGACCAGCATTTAGGTTCCAAAACAGAAAAATGGAGTAGGGTAACATGGTTTGACAGCAGTTCAAGCAAAGATAAAGAAAAACTAGAGGCGTATTAGCTGCCTTCCGTGTTACTACAAATGCCACTCTTGAGCTACATTAAGAGATTTCAGAGTCCATGCTAACGGCCACTGCCCTGTGCTATTTAGGTCTCGCCAGGGGAACTGTCTTAACTTCTGGTGATGGTATTTAGCAAAGACATTGACAGGGTGAAATGGGAAAACTGAGCAAGTGAAAGCTTAGAAACAATGAAATGTGAGTGATGACTGAAAGAACTGGGTCTATTTGGCCTGAAATAGGGTCTAATTTTTTGGTATCTAATAGATAAAGTTAAGAAATATTTGGTCTAGTCAACAGGGTGTCCTGAGAGACCCAGGATCTCTGAAGGAAAGTTCCACGGGGATTCCAGGTGGGGCCCTGACATGGAACCGATGAACCTGAGGCAGTGAGCGCTCCATCCACAGCTGCCTCAGTTTCCTAACAACAGTCTATCAAGGCTGTTTATGATGTCTCTGAAACAGGGATTAGAAATTTAGCCTGTGGGACTTTGCTCAGTCTGTATCAGTCAAGAATTAAATTACTCATGTGCTTAAAATATCCTGCATCAATGCTGAGTTCAATAATTCCCTGAGATTCTAAGTGTCCCCCAAATGAATTCTTTAGCACACTCAGGGGAAAAGCAGGTTGTAGGAGGAACAGTGGACATGTTTCCCTCTCTCCTGGGGACCACGCACTGACTGGCCGCCGGCACTTACCGCCAGGTACTGTGGGGTGAGTCCGCCCAGCCCCGTCAGGTTCCCCCAGGTGGCAGTGTTGAGCTGTTGCATCTGCTGCGCCAGCTGCTGTTGGAGGCGTCTTTGCTCTTTGTCCTTCTGAGTGTCAGCGAACTTCACCACGATAGGTGAAGAGCAGCCCTGTGGTCAGACACAGCGGAAAGTGAAGAGGGAGTTACAGCCTGGTCCAATCCTCTCATCAGACTCAGCCCTGGACCTAGCTTTCTGAACTACCTTGGAGCACATGGAATGGTCGGAATGGTTTTAAAATGGTTTGATATTCCTTCTTGTTCTCGGGAATAGTACCATCAACAGAAAATTCCAGATACGGTCATTGGTTCCCTTGGGGATCTGGTGGTCGGTGGAGCCATTTGCTTTCTTGCTCAGGTTATGAAACTGCCTCTCCTTCCTTCTTTGTGTGTCTTCCTTCAGCCTTCCCAGAACCTCCTCAGAGACAACAAACCTTATCTATGTTCTTTAACTAAGCTGCACGGTTCACTTGTCTAAAAGATAGACCTGTTTCGTGTGTCTACCTCTTTCCACATGTGAGCAGGGGACAAGGAAACTGGAATTTTTCCGATTTTCAGTTTATGGATTTTTTTAACTGTGGAACTGTGGGGATAATACTGATCCAGCAATATAACTGGGAGAAGGGGATTTGTATTAGAAACACGGATGAAGGGAGGAGATAGTCAGAAAACATGGGCATTGACCAACACAACTGTTCCCATGTTTTCAGAAGGATCTCCCTTCCTGTGTCACGTCTACACTATCCACAGTCCCCCGAGCTACTGTGAACCAAAACCTTAGCAGTATGGTCCAGCCAAAGGAGATACAGAATAAATGGCAGCAGAAGGAGTCCACTTGGCTTCTTTTTCTAACAAATCTCACCCTTCTAGGTGCTTCTCTCAATTTTCATTTCCTTTAAAAGGCAAGGAGTAGGGGTAGTAAGAAATGGCCAAGGGTTATAAAAAAGAATGAGTTCATGTTTGATGCATGTTAGGGAAAATAAGGGCCTAACTCCTTGAGGCATGAAGAAGACCTCTGTTTAGAAGCCCCGTTAAACATCTGCATTTCGTAAACATCTGCAGAGGCGTTTCTCCTCCCTCCCCACTCTCCTGTCCTTCTTAGTACAGCTTGTCTACACATTTCATCACAATTACAGTTGTTAAATTTTGCTGAGGTAAAAAGAATTCTACCCAAGTGACTAAAAAAACAAAAACTCTTTATTGAAACTCAGCATGATAACAGACCTCTCTTGCTCCTCTCAGAATTTTATTTTCCTACTTTAAGTGAGTGTTTCCTTTCTCTTCCCTTGCCCAGGTCACTTTCTTTCTCCTAGAAAACTCCCTTGCATTTTTTTCTTATCACCTTGGGTAGTTATTGGGGAGGTAGCTATAACCATGTGAGGCGATCATGTCTGTATTACCAAAAAAATGGGAGAAAAATGAGGTGATTGTTGAATTTCCAGCGTATCAGTCTTTAGCTCTGGTAGCCATAGTCACAGGACAGAATGTTAAATGTCAGTAAACTGCATAAAAGTAGTATTTCCACCATTTAAAAAAAACTAGGCTTCATTTTTCTTCATCAGCTCCATATTTCAGCACTTCATTCCTTAAAGAGGGCAAAATATTCTGAAGGTGAAAATTATACAGAGAAAGGGTTTTGCATGGAAAAGGGTTGTTATTGCTCTATCAACTTTGTTCCATAACAAATTATAGCATCTCCTCCTAGAAGTACATTCACTGTTGATTTTTTTTTCTTCCTTAAATACCATAAGATGATATAAAAGTAGAAAATCAGGCCAATGACTATAGCAAAAAATTACTCGTTTAAACCATGACACGGAAAAATGGGATAGGGAGAGATTGGAGGAAAGTAGAAAAATAGAAGGTACAATATTAAAATTCAATTATTTTTAAAAACGTGTTCTTTTAAGCTTTGACATTCACGTCGTTTTGAATCCGAATCTCTTAGATGACACATCTTGGTTAAAGATGTGAGCCAGAGTCCTGAAAATAATGTAATCTGTTAAGTGAAGAAAATAAACTTCAGCTGTATGACTATAATGTAACTGAGTAATGTCTACTTTTCCATTTAAATGCCAATATTTTTTAATTAAGTGAGACATTTAAGTGTCTTAGGGCCCTGCTCTTTAGGCATGGATGTCCAGGTTTCAAACAAGTGCGCCAAATTTGATTTTTGATAATAGATATCCATAACAAAGGACCAAGGGCTCCTTAAGAACCAGCACACCCCATTCTCTATCGCAGAATCTTTTCATTTTGAGAGCCCATTGTTCCTGGAGTCGGGCTCTTCCCCAGTTCTGCCTTCTCTCCTTGTGCTCTCCCTCTGCTGGGACATGGGGGGAACCTGGGCCCCTGCCAGCCCCTCTGGGGCTTTATTGGGGGGCGCTGAGGGAAGCAGCTGGGGCGGCAATGTTTCCAACAGAGAGGAAAGAATTTAGACTAAAAAATTATCTAAGATGAGACCAATTTAGATACAAATCACTAAACTACAGAAAATAAAAATAATTAAGAATAAAGCACGTACATGGAAGGTAATAAATACAGGTAAAGACTTTCTTTTTCCTAATAGTACTTCCGTTTTAATCTCTACACTGACATGAAGCTGGAAATCAGACTCATCCACAATGATGGAGCAGCAGAAGTTAGGGGACCGGGGGTACAAAAACTGTCACATAGGAAACTGGCTCCTAGACATTTCAAATCCTGCTAATTATCTCCTATCATGGCCGATTTTCACCTGAGCGTGCCTTCAGGTAGGGGGTGGGAGTGTCTTAAAAATGCATTGCACTGAAAGGAAAACACAGTGATTATATAAGATATGTTAGGAATATCAAAGTCAAAGTGAAGTTCGAAAAAGACAATAGGCTTTGCAATGCTGATATCAAAACTTAGAAAAGTACAGTAAACACTTAATGACAATGCCATGCACACTCCTCCCCTCCACCCCCTTCCCACCCACCCTTTGGCTCACTGTAAAAAAGTTGCCACAAAACATGACGCATAATGAGCACTTAGCTCCCAGCATGCTTTGGGAGATGCAGCATTGCAAAAAAAACAAAAACAAAACAAACAAACAAAAAATAAACCCCCCAAAAACTGGAGGCCAAAAAAGAAGCTCAAACGATCAATTAAGAAATTTTTGCTAATTAAATAAAGCGGAAAATATTTTTTCCCCCCAGGATAAAAAAAACGTAGCTTCAGATAACGCCACAAGGCCACCTGTGGAAAAGATCACCCATACACAGAGATACAGTGTACATAATACAGCAGCACATGCACTCCCAAATGATTCTATCAGACAGCACAGAATAAGTAACAGCATATCACTCTTGGAATGCTTTTGTGCAAAATTCTGAAAGGCCATGACCCAAATCACAGACTAAAAGTATAGAGCCATCTATCTGCATTGGCGGGTGAGCATCCACGCCAGCATCTTTATTTTCCTCTAAAGCTACTATCTCTCGTTAGGAGACCAAATTTGGGCCTTTATGCTTTTGGATTATTGTTCATTTTTCAGTAAGGGGAGAAATCTAATTTTTCAGGGGACTTTCATCCATAAGTGTTTTCACTGGTTAAATGAAGTGGGAGAAGAAGTAACTTTCTCCAACATTCTTGATGCAAAAACACAATTCCATGTAACTAAAGATAACTTGATCCCACATTAAAAAAAAAAACAAAAACAAAAAAGAACCCTGTGAGTTAGCACAGGGCAAGTTGCAATTTGGAGTGGGGGTTGTTCATGCTTAATCCATACCGACCCTGGGCTGGGGAGCGGATGGGACCCTTCAGGTGCAGAATACTACCTGGCTTCAATTGCATCGTGACTGCACATGGCAGGCCCTGGGCCACTGCAATAAGAGGCTCAAAAAATAATGGGAGCAGGTGGAAGGCTTTCCTAAGTCCATTTCAAGTCATTAGGGGAAAAGTCAGAGAGAGAAAGTAAGCGAGGGAGAGAGAAAGAGTATGAATGCATGGAAAGAGAGGTGGTGAAAGTTTAAATCTGTGATTGTCATGGGAACAATCCACACAGGAGAGAATTGCGTTACCATTCCCCATCATTTGCACAAAGAAAACAAAGAAAGGGCAGATGATACAGTACCTCCATGGTCTGAGACTGATGCATGGCTTTGATTGCATTCTGTGCCATTGCCCTTGTAGAAAATGTGACAAACGCACAGCCTGTGGGAAACAAGGGGACAGGGAGCAGGAAAGACAAAAAACAACAAGACAAAAGGGTTGGACGCTTGTTAAACCAACACGGTCTACGAGAACTGCCACAGGACGACACTGTTCTCAGTAGTACATAAAAATAAACAACTTCCCTCTTTGGTTTTATCGTACTTTGCTTTTTACGCACAGTGCTGACTTGCTAATCTGACCAGAGTAGAAAGATCTGTTGGTTGATTAGTTTACTTTTTAAAAATGGAGATGAGGAGAAGGAAGTTGGGTACTCTTTTTAACCGCAGGTTTGAAATTAGCAAGATCTAGTTAACATTTTCTAAAATAAAAAGTTGCTCTTTTACATTTTTTGGCTGGTTGATTATCTTTACTTAGGCACCCACACATTAGGGCTCTGGATTTCAAAATTTAGCATCGATTTTTAAGCAGCAAATAATAAAACCCTCACTCCAAGGGCAAATGAGCATAAAATTCCAAGAACTCAAAAACGTCAGCAAATAAATATATGTAATCGCTTCAGGGTAGTTAAAAAGTATATGTGTAGAAATATACATTAATGCTATTCAAATGGAGACCAATATACCAAATCCTGCACAAACCAGTATTTATTAATTATGAACAAAAACAAATGCTCTATCACTCTAAGGTTCAACAGTGCAAATAAAGCAAACCTTTTAAATTCGCATTGGATTTTTTACCAGTATAGAATCTTCATGACTTTAGGAAGTTGTGACTTTCTGACATGTATCAGCAACCTGACCTACAAGCTAACACTCACAAGACAATGTACATTTCTCTGGATGTCTCCTGTGAGGCCCATCGAACTTGCCATGGCTATCTTTTTCTCATTCTGAAAAATAACTAGAATCTATAGAGCCTGTCTCTGCTCCTTGTCAGTGTTGGCTAGCATGCAGGCCACCACTCCAACTACGCGGCTCATTGCCCTTTGCACTAATAAAAACACTGCTTTTTGAAATTCACATTTTATTCATCTTGCACCCTTGGGCTTTTAAGAGAAAAAGACTGTGAAATTAATGCAGATTCAGGCTGATTTTATAATAAAACCACAACACACTAAGATCTGAGCTAAAGCAACGCAAACTTGGCTCACTTATGATCTCTAATGACTATAAAAGTGCATTGATTTTAAGCTTGTTTAGCATTGCACAGTTTGAACTTAGGTATCAGAGAATAATTTAGTGTTCCACTCAATTTCCTCAAAACTTTATTATTATTACTACTTAGGAGATTTCCAAATGAAGCAGATCTAAACACTGAGAGGCTAAAGCCCGTTGTCATCTCAGAGTGAATCCAAGAGAGCGGAATTCTGGCATCGACAAGGCGGATGGCTGCCCTGTTGCCAGCCAGCCAAAAAGAATGTCCTACGTCTAAACAGCCAGTGGACTGTTTGGTTTATGTAAACCCATTTGTGAGCCATAAACCATATTCCTTCTTTTGTTCTGCATGTGTACCTGGTGAGATTATCAAGTCAATACTGTACTAGCACCTTTTAATCAAACAGCAATGCCTGCCCATTAATCCCAAAGCACAACAACATCAGTCATAAAATAAGTCAATGCATTTTTTTTTTTTGCATTATGCTGTAATTTTTAACACACAACATTCTCAGTGCATGGGAGATTCATTTCACATCCCCCTCCCAGTTCAGCGGGCCTTCTGAAGCCTGAGGGTAGCTCACTATGAAGGCTGAGCTGCTCCATAGCGCTCTCTATATCCACATGCTGCCTGTGCCTATCCTGGCTGCAGGTTCTGTCATCAATGAAGGCCATCTGGCAGCCTCTCTAAGGCACCTAGATGACGTGCGGAATAGTGTGTGAGGCAGATGACAGCACCTGTACTGGCTTCCATATTGATACTCGGCTCTAAAATAACAGAGTCCCAAATTTACCATCCATTTCCAAGTCATGTCTCTTCAAAAACATGGTCATTATTAATGGAGGAAATAACACGAACAGATTTTTCTTTTCCCATTTTTTTATCTTGAGAGTACAATGGAGGCAAAAGCAAATAATCTAATGGAGGCATATCTAAAGCCCCGAGAATCCTGGACTAACTGCTTTGAACAGTCAGGAAGAACTGTGTCATTCACTTCATTTACTCTTATTATCCAGGGACATGTGCCAAACTGACAGTTTCCAAACGGAGGTTAAGAATGCATTAAAAAAAAAAAATACCATATAAAATGTCAACAAAAATCAATAAGGAACAGTTTATGCATTTACTACAGTTTCGGAACAACCAGAACTTTTGTAAATAACTTAGTGAGAGAGATACGGTAATCAACAGGTCTAAAAAGAAAAGCATTAGCGACAGAACAATAAAATTATACCTCTATAAGCTCAACCCATTGCCCTTTCCTGAGAAACGTGCAATTAAAGCTCGGCTGGTGCTTCCAATTATATGATCCTCATCCCATCTGAAAAAAAATGATCTGACAAATCTGATGACTTCTTTAACCTTTTTATTCTCCTGGCAGCGGTGCAGTAAGAGACAAGTTGTCTCCGTAGGGGCTCTGTCAAGTTTTGTACTGTGCGCTGTGTCCCATTACTCAGGAGAGAAAATCACTGTGTCGTTTCTAAAGTGAGAGCCTATGTTGAAATATTTCACTCTCTATGCTACTCTGGAGGACGTTAAACAACTTCAGAACCAAATGTTTCATGGATTGGTAGCTTTTTAACCTTTGTAATTTCTCTAAAGCAGTAGGTCATGGTAGTGCTCTGGTTAGATTTCAATTTCCTTTTCACCACCACGGAAAACTTTGCGGTGGCTATTTAGGATTAAGGCCTCAACTCGGTGGCTTTTCACTAACTTCAGCTCCTACCACCAAGATTGGCTGCTGGCTCCTTCTACAAGTTAACTAGATGCCTTTCCATTGGACAGAAGTAACTTAGGTCATAATTTCCCCCTACTAAATTATCTTCTACTACAAGTGGCTTCTG